GCGGCCAGTGGTTCCCTTGATGTCTGGCAAGAACACTTTCCCTCTGGGTGGGTCTTGGTCTTGACTCTCGTGGCTTGTTCTCCGTTGTCTTGCAGCTCTTCTGATGTCTGAGGTGGAGTCTCCATTGGCCTGGAGAGCCCAGTTGAGGTGGTTCAGTACATCTTGGAGGAGGTGGGGGTTGCAGATTCTTTTTGCATGGTCTGCCAAGGCTTTAATGGTGCTTCTTCTTTGACTTGGGTGATTGTTGGAGTTGTTATGTAGGTATCTACAAATGACAAGGTGTTTTGGGAATCTCTTCAGCCCTGATGCCTTCCCCTCAATGTCCTTTTTCTGTCCACCCTTAAGGACTAGTCTTCTCAAGGGATGCGTCTGTACCATACTCCACATGCACAATGGCCGACAAGACATCTGCACTGTTACCACAAGAGGTTTGGGAGACTTTGTCAAACAAAAAGTCGTGGTCATTGTCATTGTCCTCCCCTTGGAGGCTGGTGGCATGAGGGAGAAGGTGAGGGTAGCTCAGGGTCACCAGGTCTTTTTGGCACGTTGTGTCATGATGGTATGAAACCAGCTCATTGCTGAAGTTGACGGTCTCCACAGCGTTGCTGGAGCAGAAATGGCCACAGCCCAAGATGGTAGCAAAGGCTTTCCGGAAATCGGCATTGAAGGCATAGATGACAGGGTTGAGGGAGGAGTTGGCCCAACCAAACCAGACAAAGATGTTGAAAACGGCATCACTGACACAGGGCAGTTTGCCAAGCTTCTGCAAATGGTGGTCGCAAAAGGGTACCACACAATTCAGCACAAAGAAAGGAAGCCAGCAGAAGACGAAGACCCCCATGATGACAGAGAGGGTCTTGAGGACCTTGGTTTCTTTTTTGAAGGAGTTCTTCAAGGAGAGTTCATGAGGACATTCATGACTTTGGCAGCCCTGGGCATGCTCTACGGCCCTCTCTAGAGAAGAAATCCTCCGAATCTGTCGCTGAGCAATGCGGAAGATCCTGGTATATGTCACTATCATGATAGCAACAGGAATGTAGAAGCTGATGAGGGAGGATGAGATCGCATAGGTCCTATTGAGGCTGGAATCACAGTTTTCTCCTGGGATCCAGGTGATGTTGGCATCCATATCATGGGCAGGAAGAATCTCACTGGCTTTGTGCCATCTCAACTGGACAGGGATAAAGGAGATCAAGACTGAGAGCATCCAAGCCACCCCGATCATGATAAAAGCCACCCGCTGGGTCATCTTTCGCTCATAGCGGAAGGGGCTGGAGATGGCCCAGTAGCGGTCCATGCTGATGATGCAAAGGTTGAGGATCGATGCCGTGGAGCACATGATGTCAAAGGCCACCCAGATGTCACAGAAGGCCCCAAAGGGCCAGAAACCAACCACTTCTGCAACTGCCTTCCAAGGCATCACCAGCACAGCCACAAAGAGGTCGGAAACAGCCAAGGAGATGACGAAGAAGTTGGTGACTTTGGAGCGCAAGTGCCGGAATTTGACCACCGCCATGCATACAAGCGTGTTCCCCAGCAGAGTGGAGAGGATGAGGAGGAGCAGCAAAGAAGCCATCACCACCCGTAGGGACAACTCCGAGTTGTCCACCTCCACTTGGCCTTCCTCATTGAGACTGTCATTAGCCATGTCCGCTGTGCCGCCTTCTCTTTCTCCTCCTTGCAGGTAAAGTCCATCCATGTTCTCGCTGAGACCCCGACGTGGCTTCCTTGTCTGCTACATCTCCATCACTAAACCACCCACCACATTCCCACTCTTTTGCTTTTCTACCTGCATCTCAGAGGCGCTGGCCACATGCTCCCAGACACTCAGGATCTCCGCTAGATCTCCATCTCGACACAGCACTGCTCAGCCTTCCCCTTCTTTCCAAAATCCCTGACATTTCCTCCACCCCGGCTACCTCTCCCTCTCCTTCGCTACTGCCTGCTTCGCTTCTCCAACTGCTTCTCACAGCCAGTCAATTCTCACCTACTCTACTTTTCATTACACAGCCCTTCTTTCCCTCCCCAATCTTTTCCAGACGCTTGGGAGCTTTTCTATGCCTTGCCTGCGGGATCCTGATCCCTTTTGTGCTGCCTCCCTTGGGATGCAGAGTGGGCTGGAGGATGGAAGAGTGACAAGACCCCCGGCTTGATCCCCAGCTGTTGCCCCCAGATGGATGCCCTCTCTGTGTTTGAGCTTGCACCCACCGCCTCTCCTGTCGTGCTACCTTTGGTGCCCGTTTGCCACGAATTGCTCTCAGGTAAGAATTGTTCCATATTTCTCTCTGTTCTTCAAAATTCAAATCTTAGTTTTCAAAATATATATGTGTGTGAGTTTCTAGCCCTCAAAGTTCTTGCAAGGCAGTGTCTAAGCATCAAAGGAGTAGAAACGTTTGAAACCTTGTGTCATGTTTCCATAATACATTATTACCTATTACTTACGCATCAACGCATCTTGTCAATGGTTTATATTAACTCACTGTTTCGTACCCAGAAAAGCGTTGAAATTGTTAGAAATAGCAACCTTCTGCAAACCTCCTATATTAGTGACTAGCCGTCCCCTGCCACGCATTGCTATGGCCAAGTCTGTGTATATGTGTTTTGTGTGTGTATATATGTGTGTATATATTTGTGTAGGGTTGGTAGGTTTCCCCTGACATGAACTCTTGTGGTGTCCGACTCTGGGGGTTGGTGCTCATCTCCATTTCTAAGCCAAAATGCTGGCATTGTCCGTAGACACCTCCAAGGTCACGGGACCAGCATGACTGCATGGAGCGCCATTACCTTCCAGCCGGAGCGGTACCTATTGATGGACTCACAGTTGCTTGTTTTCGAACTGCTAGGTTGGCAAAAGCTGTGGCTGACAGCGGAAGCTCATGCCGCTCCCTGGATTAGAACCTGAGAATTTTCGGTCAACAAGTTTAGCACCTCAGTGGTTTAACCCACTGTTGCACCGGGGGCTCCTATTTGTGTATATGTGTTTGCGTATATATGTGTGTGTGGTTTTGTGCATGCGTTGCAATGTATTTTTGTTTTTTGGCTTTTTAAGTCTCTTCCGCTGTGTTTTTCAGTGTTTTTATGAGTGATGCTCACTCGTTGGCCTGATAGGTGTCTTGTGTCCAAATTTGGTGTCAATTCATCCAGTGGTTTTTGAGTTCTGTTAATCCCACAAACGAACATTACATTTTTATTTATATAGATTTGTTATGTGTGTAATTCAGATTGCTCATTTTATTGTATATGTGTGTTTTGGTTTGCAGTTTTCCTTAACACTATGTTATGGAAGGGGCTGCAGACCATGTGATCCGATCTGGGACTATTCAGACCCGAGACTCCATTTTTTAGACTTCAGACTCCATTAGAGCACAGAACACAGAAATGTTTTAGACTTTGGACTGTTGATTCTAAGAAAGATGCCCTGGTTTATCTACACACAGAGACTACATCAAATCCATCTGTAACTGGATTGACAAGTTATGTACCTGTATGCTGAATACATGAAGTTTGTAAGGAAATCAACTATGTTACTTTTAATGAAGACTACTTATTTTTGTCTCTTGAGAATATGATTTAAACCAAGATGTTTTAAGTGAGAGAAGATGTTTTTTGGGCACTGAAAAGAACACTTCTGAAGCTCTGCTGTTTTTGTGCATTGGCATAATCGTTGTTCCTAACAGTTCAAAGAGATAACCAAATTTATCAGAAATCTAATTTGCCTTGCATGAATACTATTGGATATTTACCCCTAAAGAGAAGAGGTTTTTAGCTGTGTGAGCTGTGACCAGCTAATACCTCCCAACAAAGGATTCCCCCAGGCAGCAACCTTGAAACTGCAGACCATTAAATGCTAATCAAGGTAGCAAATTGCAACATTCACACATACCTCAAGCAGACAAGAATTCTTTCTCCCACCCTGGACATTCCACAGATATATAAACCCAATTTTCCTAGTTTCCAACAGACCCTTCAACCTCTGAGGATGGCTGCCATAGATGTGGGTGAAACGTCAGGAGAGAATGCTACTGGAACATAAACAGACAGCCCGAAAAACTTACAACGACCTGTTGAGATGGTTGTCTGAATCTTATCTGATGTACCCAAGGGGATGCCTGCCATAGATGTGGGTGAGACGTCAGGAGAGAATGCTACTTATTTATTTGTGGTGTAAGGGCAACCAGTCAATTGTATTACATTTCTAACAGAACAAAACAAACAGACAGACAAAATACAAAATTTGCGAGTTTGGTAGTTGATTAAATGTCCTTTGACCAGTATCTGGCCACTTGGAGTGCCTCTGGTGTTGCCGCAAGGAGGTCCTCCATGGTGCATGTGGCAGGGCTCAGGTGGCATTGCAGCAGGTGGTCAGTGGTTTGCTCTTCTTCACACTCGCATGTCGAGGATTCCACTTTGTGGCTCCATTTCTTGAGGTTGGCTCTGCATCTTGTGGTGCCAAAGCGCAGTCTGTTCAGCGCCTTCCAAGTCTCTCATTTGGTATCAGCCATTGATTGGGGTTCTGGGTTTGAGCCTGCCACTTTTGGACTCTCGCTTGCTGAGGTGTTCCAGCGAGTGTCTCTGTAGATCTAAGAAAACTATTTGTTGATTTAAGTCGTTGATGTGCTGGCTGATACCCAAACAGGGGATGAGCTGCAGATGTCTCTGCCTTGGTCCTTTTACTATTGGCTGCTACTTCCCGGCGGATGTCAAGTGGTGCAATACCGGCTAGACAGTGTAATTTCTCCAGTGGTGTAGGGAGCAGACACCCCGTAATAATGCGGTATGTCTCATTCAGAGCCGCATCTACTGTTTTAGTGGGTGATATGTGTTCCACACTGGGCATGCATACTCAGCAGCAGAGTAGCATAGTGCAAGGGCAGATGTCTTCACTGTGCCTGGTTGTGATCCCCAGGTTGTGCCAGTCAGCTTTCGTATGATATTGTTTCTAGCACCCACTTTTTGCTTGATGTTCAGGCAGTGCTTCTTGTAGGTCAGAGCACGGTCCAGAGTGACTCCCAGGTATTTGGGTGCGCTGCAATGCTCCAGTGGGATTCCTTCCCAGGTGATCCTCAGAGCTCAGGATGCTTGTCTGTTCTTGAGATGAAAATGATGAGATCTCCATACAGCCTGGAAAACACACCGCAACCCAAATCTTTTAGCTCTTCTCAGGAAGATCACACTTTACAAAAAGGTTATGATTTTCCAAATGGTTGTTGTTGTTCATTCGTTCAGTCGTCTCCGACTCTTTGTGACCTCATGAACCAGCCCACGCCAGAGCTCCCTGTCGGCCGTCACCACCCCCAGCTCCTTCAAGGTCAGTCCAGTCACTTCAAGGATGCCATCCATCCATCTTGCCCTTGGTCGGCCCCTCTTCCTTTTGCCTTCCACTTTCCCCAGCATAATTGTCTTCTCTAGGCTTTCCTGTCTCCTCATGACGTGGCCAAAGTACTTCAACTTTGTCTCTAGTATCTTTCCCTCCAGTGAGCAGCCGGGCTTTATTTCCTGGAGGATGGACTGGTTGGATCTTCTCGCAGTCCAAGGCACTCTCAGAACTTTCCTCCAACACCACAGCTCAAAAGCATCTCTCTTCCTTCGCTCAGCCTTCCCTAAGGTCCAGCTCTCACATCCGTAGGTTACTACAGGGAATACCATGGCTTTGACTAGGCGGATCTTTGTTGCCAGTCTGATGTCTCTACTCTTCACTATTTTATTGAGATTGGTCATTGCTCTCCTCCCAAGAAGTAAGTGTCTCCTGATTTCCTGGCTGCAGTCTTCATCTGCAGTAATCTTTGCACTAGAAATACAAAGTCTCCACGTTTTCTCCCTCTGTTTGCCAGTTATCAATCATTCTTGTTGCCATAATCTTGGTTTTTTTGATGTTTAGCTGCAACCCGGCTTTTGCGCTTTCTTCTTTCACCTTGATTAGAAGGCTCCTCAGCTCCTCCTCGCTTTCGGTCATCAGAGTGGTGTCATCTGCATATCTGAGGTTGTTAATGTTTCTTCCAGCAATTTTCACCCCAGCTTGCATTCATCAAGCCCCGCACATCGCATGATGTGTTCTGCATACAAGTTAAAAAGGTTGGGTGAGAGGATGCAGCCTTGCCGTACGCCTTTCCCAATCTTGAACCAGTCTGTTGTTCCGTGGTCAGTTCTGACTGTTGCTACTTGGTCCTTGTACAGATTCCTCAGGAGAAAGACAAGGTGGCTTGGGATGCCCATCCCAAAGAACTTGCCACAATTTATTATGATCCACACAGTCAAAGGCTTTAGAATAGTCAATGAAGCAGAAATAGATGTTTTTTCTGAAACTCCCTGCCTTTCTCCATTACTCAGCGGATATTGGCAATCTGGTCTCTCGTTCCTCTGCCTTTTCTAAACCCAGCTTGAACATCTGGCAGCTCTCGCTCCATGTATTGCTGGAGTCTTCCTTGCAGGATCTTGAGCATTACCTTCCTGGCATGAGAAATAAGGGCCACTGTACGGAAGTGTGAGCAGTCTTTCGCATTTCCCTTTTTTGGTATGGGGATATAAGTTGATTTTTTCCAGTCTGATGGCCATTCTTGTGTTTTCCATATTTGCTGGCAAATGGCATGCATCACCTTGACAGCATCATCTTTTAAGATTTTAAACAGTTCAGCTGGTATCCCGTCATCTCCTGCTGCCTTGTTGTTAGTTTCCAAAAGGCTTGGGAGATTCTGCTTTTCCGAAAGGATATGATCTCTAAAATATCATGCCTTTCCAAAAGGTTATGAATGCCATTTTTCAATAGAAAT